TCCGTGATAGTGTTCATCGACGACATTCTGATTTACTCAAAAAGCCAGGAGGAGCATGGCAGACACTTGCGAGAAGTGTTAGAAGTTTTGAAGAAGGAGAAGCTGTATGCTAAGTTCTCCAAATGTGATTTTTGGATTCGTGAAGTCCAATTCTTGGGTCACGTGGTCAACCAAGAAGGGATAATGGTTGATCCAGCAAAGATTGAAGCTGTAATGAAGTGGGAACAACCGAAAAGTCCCACGGAGATCCGAAGCTTTTTAGGATTAGCCGGATATTACCGAAGGTTTATCCAAGGCTTTTCTTCGATCGCTAGTCCGTTGACAGCTTTGACCCACAAAGGAGCTACTTATGCTTGGAGTGAGAAGCATAAAGAAGCATTCGAGAAGCTAAAGAAGAAGCTATGCGAGGCACCGATACTTTCTCTACCCGATGGAGTTGAAGACTTCGCTGTTTATAGCGATGCGTCTGGGGTTGGATTGGGTTGTGTTTTACCCAAAGAGAAAAGGTGATAGCATATGCGTCTCGACACTGAAGAGCATGAAAAGAACTACCCGACTCATGATTTGGAGTTGGCAGCGGTAGTTTTCGCTCTGAAGATATGGAGGCATTACCTCTATGGCACTAAGTGCAAACTTTTCACTGATCATAAGAGTCTCCAATATCTCTTTAATCAGAAGGAATTGAATATGAGGCAACGACGCTGGCTGGAATTACTCAAGGACTACGACTGCGAGATACTTTACCACCCCGGTAAGGCTAATGTTGTTGCTGATGCTCTCAGTCGGAAAGTCAATCTTGAAAGGAAAAGGCCAAGAGCGTTGAGAATTGAAGTTGTCTCGACCATTGTGGAAAGTATAAAGAAAGCTCAAGAGGAAGCTTCTGAGAAAAATGACCGAAAGGAGGAACGTTTGGGTAAAACGTTGGTGTTTGGTACAACGGTCATGGACTGAAGGTATTCCAAGATCGTATTTGGGTACCTAAGTCAGGAGGAATTAGAGATCTTCTGATGGAAGAAGCTCACAAGACCATGTATTCGATTCATCCGGTAGCACTAAAATGTATAGGGACCTGAAACCCTTCTACTGGTGGCCGACGATGAAGCTTGATGTTGCAAAGTATGTGGCCGAGTGTGTGACTTGTGCGAGAGTCAAGACACAACATCAGAAACCGTATGGGAGTTTAGAACCTTTACCTGTGCCTATGGGTAAGTGGGAAGACATTGCTATGGATTTTGTCACTAAACTACCCAGAACAAAGAATGGTCACGACATGATTTGGGTGGTCGTTGATCGATTCACTAAGAGTGCGCATTTCATAGCAGCCAGGGAGAAATGGTCTATGGAAAAGCTTGCGAATTCTTATGTGAAGGAAATTGTGAGACTTCACGGCGTTCCGCTAACAATTGTGTCGGATCGTGATAGTCGTTTCACCTCAAGGTTTTGGAAAAGTCTACAAGAGGAAATGGGTACCAAGTTATGTTTAAGTACAGCTTACCATCCGCAGACTGATGGTCAGAGTGAAAGAACGATACAAACACTTGAAGATATGCTGAGAGCATGTACCTTGGAATTCCTAGGTAATTGGGATGAACATTTACCTTTGGTAGAATTTTCCTATAATAATAGTTTTCACTCGAGCATTAAGATGGCACCTTACCAAGCTTTGTATGGACAAAAGTGTCGTACGCCGTCTTGTTGGCTTGAGGCTGGGGAAAAGCAGTTTATGGGACCGGAGATGGTTCATCAAACTGCTGAAAAGTTGAAAATAATTAGGGAAAGAATGTTAGCAGCTCAAGATCGTCAAAAGAGCTATGCTGACAAAAAGCGAAGACCGATGACTTTTGAAGTTGGGGATTCGGTTTTGCTTAAAGTCTCGCCGTGGAAGGGACTTATAAGATTTGGTAAAAGGGGAAAGTTGAGTCCAAGGTTTATTGGACCGTTTAAAGTTCTTCAGAGGATTGGGAACCAAGCTTACAAGCTCGAATTACCCGAAGAACTGAATGGAATTCACAACACTTTTCATGTGTGTTATTTGAGGAAGTTCACGGGAGAAGTTCCCGATATAATTCCAATTTCCGAATTGAGAATTGATGAGAACAAAAGGTTGATTGAAGAACCATAGGCAATTGTTGACCGAAAGACTAAGAAGTTGCGACACAAGATGGTCGAGTTAGTGCTTGTCCGATGGAAACACACGAATGGGCCGAATCTCACCTGGGAGACGGAGAGTGACATGAGGAGTCGCTATCCGCATTTGTTTGTTGATGTGTGATTCCGGGGACGGAATCATTCTAAGGTGGAGAGAATTGTAACGCCTGTGTTTCCAGGCTTGCCATTTTTAGCAATGTAATGGTCTAGGTTAACCTTTGTAACCCGTTTTGAAATAATATAGTGTATTATTTGAGTATTATGTGTTTTGTGCTTAATTGCTTAATTATGTGGTTTGATTAATTAAGAATAAAAATAAGCATCAAAATTTAAGTGTAAAATAAACTTGATATCTTTAGATAATGTTGTAGTAGTTGAAACAAGGTTTCCGAAGATATAAAGAATGCCGAAATCCGAGTTATAACGAGGAAGTTATGACCTGTCGAAGTTTCGCGACAGAACCGGCAACGCTGAATAACGTAAAAAGTGAAATTTACGTTAAAGCGATATTTAGCCTTAGTGATCTAAACGAGAATCGAAGATCTCGTTGTTAGTATCAAAGCGATAAAAAGTTAGGCGAGAACGGACGTCAAACGAAGAAGTTATGAATTTATAACGAAAGTTTCTGTCCCGGCCTATTAAAAATAAATAATAAAAATAAAGTCAAAATTAGCCGACGGAGTCTAAACGAAAGTTGTAGAGCGTAGTCTCACCTTTCCGTGGATATAAAGAACGTCGAAAACGGAGTTCGTATGAAGAAGATATGAATTTCCGAAGTTTGATTAAATAATTTGTATTTATTTTTAAATCAAAATCCGGATTATCCGAAGGGAGTCACAGATCTGATCCGAGGTACGCGCTGCGTACTCGAGTACACCCCGCGTACAGCCAAAGTATCGACACTTCGGATGACGCATGCAATGACGCATTTCGGAAGTAGTACGCGCTGCGTACTGCTGTACGCCCCGCGTAAATGAGGCTCCCAGCCTCCTATAAATAGGATGCGAGGGCAGCCGGCCAAATTGCTAATTTCCTCTCGTTTTTGTGCCGAAGCTCTGCGTTTTTACCCCCGAAGCCATCCCGAAGCCCCGGTAATATTCCCGATTCCCGAGATCCCGAAGATCCCAAGAAGTGCGGTTTCCGAGCCGAAGCTCTGCCTGCGAGAAGTTCGATTTTCGTAGAGATCTTCCAGATCTGCGGAGGATTATTACTTTTGCGAGTCGTAGTGTTGTCCGATCATCTTCTGATCAAGTGAGTGTATACTACCTTTCATAAACGCAATAATAATACAAGTATGGTTCGAGGGTATTAAGTTTATTGTCGTTTATACGTGTGAATGCGTTGTTACTTTCTCATAACGTATAACTATGAAGTATTTTATACGAGATACGTGTTATGTGTATATTTTGTTGTTATGTGTGTGAATGTATATTCACTTTCTTCTATCTTACATATCTGATTATTTCTATATGAAATACGTGTTATGTGTGTGTGCCTCATCTGTTATATGGAAAATGTATTGATCAAGCATGCTATACAGGTTTTGAAAATATGTATAAAAATGTATGTTTTTATCTACTAATATGTTGGGTAGAACATGGGTAGATAGTTGGTGTGTAATAAACAGATGAGAGGCCTCGTTGTTGTTTGATCCAGTCATCTAGCGGAATTTAGATGACGACCACGGACTTTTCTAGATAGTCATGTGGAACGCTAGCAGGCTCATAACCTGTAGGTGTTAATGAACTTGGGTGTTCATTCGCTGTATTCCATCCCCCTCATGGTTGCCTTATTTGACTTATATTGCTGAGGAAACCCCGCAGCATGTGTTGTCACCCCGATGAAAATATTCTTAGATTAGGTCCCTTGTGTTAGTTATTTTAGGGACGTAAAGTGAGAATAACGGGAATGGGTAACTGGGTTATTGTTGGTTGATAATAATTAATTTAATTATTTATTGTGGGTTGAAAACCCTATATGCTCACCAGGCTCCCAAGCCTGACCCACTCAGTTTTATTTGTATTACAGGAAGTGGCGCAAGGGCGTAAGATGGATGAACCATCAAGTTGTTTTGTTTACAAGTCTACATATGTTTATATTTGTTATATTACTTGTAATGTATTCGTTTATGCTTATTGGTCTGTATCGGAACATGACACCCCGAGTTTTGTTTATAATGAAAATACATTTCTTTTATGAAATGCTTCGGTAAACATTGTTTTATCATGTTTTGTTTTTGGGAACAAATTCCGCAACTCTTTCAAATCAAAAGGATTTACTCTGAAAATATTTAAAAGCATAAATGAAAATCGGTCTTTTCTGGCCGAGATTTTGGGGATGTCACACCTGAATACATCTGGTTCAGTATCTTAAAGAAAGGAAAACGATTTGTCCCTTAGTAATAATGCAACTTGTATAAGATCATACAAGTTCATCAACGGAAATTTTGCTATAGTGAAGTCACAAGTTTTTCCACTTGATCGGATCACTGAGTATTTGAGATTTTGGATGACATTTTCAAAAATCACATCTCTTTTTATACTGATTACTTTCTTTATTTTCTCCAGTGACCAAACTTCTTCAAGAGCTTTACCTAATACTGCATGAAAACGAATTTTCATCTTCTTCCCTTCATCTACATCCTTGCACTTGACTTCAACTCAAAACTGAAGCATGATAAACATGATTTCATTCATTGGAAAATCCAACTGACTTGAATCAGAGTTTGTAACCACATAAATTTTCTTTGGAATCTTCTCAAAAGAGTACATGCGATCAAACATAACTGTGGCCTCAATTGTTTCATAGTTGTATTGCTTCGAAGGATCTCCTTTATCTAAATTTGAAGGATCTTAAGCACGAAGAGTCATAATACTTTGTAGATGTCTCATTTTTTCTACTTCAGCTTCTACCTCTGCTTTCTTTTCTTCTTTCGTTTTCTCAATCAAAATTCCTTTCCCTTTATCTTTTGAAGCTGTCTTAGTCACTACAGTCTTCGTCTTTGAAGCACTCCCACCTGCTTCGCTAATTACAACACCCTTTAGTATTGGCTTGGTTAATGGAGCAGTTGTGACCACCGTAGAAGAAACTGGACCAGCTGAAACAACAATTGGTTTTGCAGCAGAAATTTTCTTTACCTCCACCTTCGAATGTTCCCCACCCTTCATAAAATCCAGTTTCGTTTCTCCCCCTTGCACCCCTGTGACAACAGGTGGAGCATCTTACACAGATGGGAGAAGGCAGGATATGCGAGTAAGAGGGGACAATTGTTTGTGTAAAATTTCTTCAAACTGCAAAATTTTCTATGACAAGAATTTAGAAGTAATCGGCGAAGAAGGAACAGGCTTGACAGATAATTCCTTCAATTCCTTTAATAAGCCAAGCAAGTCACCAAAATGCTTATCTTCATTTTCAGAAAGAAGAGTAAATTAAGGACTTATACTTTTGAAGAGTTTGGCAAATCTGGTAACTGCATCATAGATAATGTCAATCTTTTGATTCATGGAAGCATAATCTTGTTGGACAACTTGAAATTCCTTCTGCATATCTTCATGAAGTTCGCGTATTTGTAAATTGACATCTTCTCGAACTTTCTTTACTTCTTGAACAAACAACACATGTCTTTCCTTGGTAACGAGTTTCAAGTCTTTCACTTCATGCAAGAAATCCTGATGCTGAGAAGTCATACGAAGATCATTCGATTGATCAATAGAATCAACTTTCTCTAAAAGCCGTCCTTCAGAATCCCTTATCATGCAGAAACTTTGTTTGTAACCTTGGATTCGAATACCTTCAGCAGAGAATCAACCTCTAAACTTGAGACGGAAGAAACCCCCCCCCCCCCCCAAAAAAAAAATATCAGCTTGAGATTGAAGAATAGAATTCAACTTTGAATTTTAAATTTTAAATTACTTCATGGTCATTAACATGTGATCAGGAAAATCTTCTTCTTTTGCATCAAACTTCAAATATTCAAAGGTTCCTCCAAAACCTTTAGTATCAGTTTCAATCTCCAATTGCATGGTATCATGAATAGGTGAATTTGGTTTTGGTGGATCAGTAGATTGAGATAAAAAAATTGAAGTGAAAGGGGTATTGATGACATGTTGGAAAGTGGGTGAATCAGTGGTAGATGTTATGGGAACAATGGGAGTAATCTGTGGAGATAAAGAAATACCTTGATCTGCAATCTTCGAATTATTCTCACCCATAATGACATTTGTACCCATATCAGATATGTTTACAGTGATGTCTGAAGTTCGAGCCTCCACAGAAACTGTCTTGGCAAACGAAACTTCGGGTGGTTGAGTCACTGAAGTATCAACTATAGAAGAATCAAGAATTAGAGTTGCCTCAGGAGTTTTCGGAATAATTCTGTGTCATCAGTGGTGGAATCAGAAGAAATGATCAATTTTCTCTTCTTCTTCTGAGAAATATGTTTGGCCATGTTAGCAGCCATTCTCTTCTTTGTTGAAGGAGACACAGGGGCAGGAACTTCTCTAAAAATTACTCCTTTGTGAGAAACTTGTGGTTTAAGAACCATCTTCGTACCCAACGATCTTCTATTTGTCTTCAATTTCATCTTAATACGCTTGAATACACTAGTCTTCGAAGGAATTATTTCATTTTCAATGACCTGGGTATCAGAAACAACAAGCTTTGGCTGATCGAGTTCAGGTTCAATCACAGGAACCAACTTTGTTTTCTTCGAAGACTTGGCTTTGGTATCCGAAGACCCAACAACAGGTTTCTTCGTCTTCTTGGATTTCTTCTCAGATGTATGTGGTAGAAGAATCCCGATTTCCACAGAAGTATCAATAGTTGCTAAGTAAGAAACTAAGACAGAATTCGAAGGATCAATTCTCTTGAGCATCGCATCAGGAATACGAGCTGCAAACGAAAACTCATCTAGATCATCCGTTGCATCCTTTGGACAATGGTATGTATGAAAGACAACTTTCTCCTCATTAGCTGGTACAAATATCCCTTCTTTGTCATAAAAATATTGTAAGATCAGGCTCCAATATCTAGCACACGAAATGCCCTGAGCATCATTCGTATTCTCGATACTCTTTTGAAATTCCTTCCATAATTGAGTTAAATAGTCCACTTGAAGATCATAATATAGCCCTGATACCATGGCGTATACCTCCATTCTTCCTTTATCAAGACCCACCGTTCTGCCAGTCAAGCAACGAAGAAAAATGCCAAACAGAAAATTCCACACACAAGGAATTCCTGATTTCTTGAAATCACTGATTTTGGTTAACTGTGGTTGATGTCCCATTTCATTGAACATGTGGACTATTTGTGGAAATGTGAGTGACACATATGGTGAAGAGTTTGGGATAGCAAGAATTTTGCAAAAAAGCTTTTGAGTCAACCTAAACTTTTTGTCATTGATTAGGTTAAATGTAACTGCATCCAAGGCCTTTGAATATGTAGCAGTTGATCCGGCTTGTGGTAACCAGGAAATACGAACAGCAAAAGAGTTAAACATTGTTGTTGACAGGACAGAGTGTTGCAGAGCAACGATCAACATATTATGTTCTTCCGGATACAATGACACATTAGACTCCACCTGATAGTTTCTTCCTTGGATTTTCATGATTGGTACTGAAGTAACATCATCTGTGGTGTGTGAAGGTTCAGCCGCAACATTCTTCACATTCGCCATTTTTAGGGTTTTGAACAAGATGAAGAATATAGAAATTTTGAGTTGCAAAGAGTATTTAAGATAATGTAAGCGTAAAAGGATGAATAACCCTTGAATCCCCTTTTATATGTAACTCTTCAATTTGAAATCAAAGCGGGATAAGCATTTAATGTTTGCTGACGTGTCACTGAGAAAAGCGCATCATGATGATGATAAAGTAACCATGCGTCAAAAAGTAACTGTCACATCGCCTTGAAAACCGAAGGTAATATAAAAACGTCTCATCAAATAACCTGTTTTTATTGACCCAATGGAATTGTAACCGTCAGAATCCTTCAGATGGAGGTTAGGCTCATTTACTTTTGGGTTTTAAAGTAAAGTAATTTGCTAGAGATTCGAAATCATCAGCCTGAGTTGGTATTACTCAGAACCTCAAGGATTTCGTGTGTGCATTGTGTCAAAGAATTAAGATCAGAATTTGAAATTCAAAAAGTAAAGATTTATACCTGACCCTAGAATTTGCGAACATTTGGCTCTTCATCTCTTCAAGAATATCTACAACAAAGTACTTAAAGAGAAAAAAAAAGTTTTTGTTGTTTTTGATTTTTCGAATATAAAGAACAAAATAAAATGAAAATCGATTTGATGTTTGTGTGTTTATAGAAAATAAAGAACAAAAAAAAATATTACTAAAGTTACTTGTTTGCATAACTTTTTTTTATCAAACATACAAATACGAAGCGTCCGAAGAGTGACATATGAACAGTAACCTTATCCATTGATGACGTGTCTGCGAACTGTCAATCTTCTTTTTCGCATGAAATAGAATTACCATCAACCATTGCAAGTCCTTCTAAAATTCTTACAAATGATTTTTCATCTAATTCTTTCGTGAAAATATCAGCCAATTGATTAGTAGTTTTCACAAAATGAACTTCAATATTCCCATTTTCTACATGATCTTTTATGAAGTGATAACAAAGAGCAATGTGTTTGGTCTTCGAATGCTGCACAGGATTATGACAAATTCTTATTGCACTTTGTGAATCACAATATAAATGAATCTTTTTCATATTAATTGCATAATCACGTAATTGACTTTGAATCCATATTATCTGTGATGTGCAAGCAACATCAGTAACATATTTAGCTTCGGCTGTTGAGATAGAAACACATATCTGCTTTTTCGATTGCCAACTTACCAATTTACCATCAAGTAATTGACATCCACCACTTGTACTTTTCCTGTCCAGATTACATCCTCCTAAATCAGTATCCCAATATGCTTGTATGAAAAACCCAGTATTTGAAGGATACCATAATCCATGCGAAGATGTTTCTTTGAGATAACGAAAGATATTCTTTACAGCAGTTAAATGAGGTTCTCGAGGATTTGATTGATACCTGGCACAATTACAAACAGAAAACATGATATCAGGTCTACTTGCAGTCAAATAGAGTAAAGATCCAATCATGCTTCTGTATAGAGTAATATCAACGACAGGTTTATCTAACGAAGGAGTAAGTTTAATGCCAGTTGCCATTGGAATGCGTAATTCCGTGCGATTCACCAAGCCAAACTTTTTGAGCAGATTCTTCGTGTATTTTTCTTGATTTATGAAAAATTCCTTCTCTGTTTTGACGAATGTTTAAACCCAAAAAATTATTAATTTTTTCCATCATGCTCATTTCGAACTTACTTTTCATCAGATCTTCGAATTCTTTAAACAAAGCAGGGTCAGTTGAGCCAAAAATAATATCATCAACATAAATTTGAACAAGCATTAGTTGATTCCCAACTTTCTTCCGAAATAAAGTGGGGTCAACTGATCCTTGTTTAAATTTAGATTGCTTCAAAAATGAAGTAAGAGTTGCATACCATGCTCATGGTGCTTATTTCAAACCATAAACTGCCTTATCTAAAATATAAACATAATCTGGATGTTCCTCGTTTATAAAACCTAGAGGTTGTTCCACATACACTGTTTCTTCGTGTTCTCCGTTCAGAAATGCACACTTCACATCCATTTGATATACATCAAAATCTTTGTGAGATGCATAAGACAAAAATATATGAACTGCCTCGAGTCTTGCAACAAGGGCAAAAGTTTCTTCGTAATCAAATCCTTTTTGTTGGGAAAACCCTTTACAACAAGTCTAGCTTTGTTTCGAATGATATTTCCATCTTTATCGGTTTTATTTTTGAAAATCCATTTTAATCCGACAATCAAAACATCTTCAGGTTTAGGAATTAATCGCCTAACCTTATTTCGTTCAAATTTAGATAATTCAGATTGCATTGCAACAACCCAATCTGATTGTTCCATTGCAATCTTAACTGTTTTTGGTTCAATTTTAGAGATAAAAATGTTGAACATACAAAATTCTCGATGGGCATTTAATAGCTCATTCTTCGCACGAATTTGAGCTGTTGTTAAAACTCCTTCATGTGGATTACCGATTATTTGCCCCTTTGGATGATCTTCTGTCCATTTGTCCATTGGTGGATAAGCTGGATCGAAGTCCAAAGGTACATTTTCATACATTTCATCGTTTTCAGATCCTGCAATTGAACAAACATCATTAATATCATGAAAATCTTCATTATTTTGATTTAACTCCCCCTCAACATGATCATTTATTTGCTCCCCCTCAACATCATCACATGTTATTCCATTCTCCCCCTCGAAAGAATCCTCCCCCTCAAGTAGATTGTTCGAATCCATGTGCTCCCCCTCCACTGAATCATCATGCATACTTTCGCCCATTGCTTGAAAAGATGATGTTGATTCAACAACTAGTTTTGAAATTTCATTGACATGCTTGTCAGGAGCATTACACTCAGCAGTCGCACCATTATCTGAAATTCCAAAAATCAGATCATAATCAATATTCATTGATTTTTTATCATCAGATTCTTTTTGATTTTCTTGCATTATGGAATGATTTTCAAATTTCTTATCAGATTGCTTGATATAGTAATCATCAAAAGTAACATTAAATGTTTCTTCCACTTTTAGAGTTCGTTTATTTAGCACACGATAGGAAACTGAATTATGCGAATATCCAAGGAAGATCTCTTCATCAGCTTTAGCTTGA